CGGCTCACTGGCTCCGCTGGGCAACGGAGAGTCTGTAAACTTCCATTATCCCGTTGAGCCACAGCCTCGGTGGGAAAAAAAAGATTTGCTGTCCTACTAGCAGAGGCTCAACATGGCAGCGAGGAAGAGGAATAGCCTGGATTCGAACGGAGCACGATTCTCAGCGTTGTCACAGGCTCTCCAGCGTACTACCGGCTAAGCCACTCGAGCTCTGACCGCCAAACCGCGCAATGCAAAACAGCCTGGTTGGTTCCTTTAAGCGTTCCGCTCTGCTCCACCGTGACCCGGGACTCACCTGCAAGACAGGGTCTTCAGGGCCTGGGTGGCATTTACTTTTAGCTGATAAAGATATCGAAAAGACTATTAAAGAGGGACCCAAAACCACGTAACACTTGGTACAGCTACTTATGTACGTCGGTTAAAAAAGACCTTCTTTGAATCACTGTCGTATGCTGAATGACAATTTTTGATGTTCATTTTTAATAATAATTCCACTTAACAAATACTGCCTGTTCTAAACGGGAATATCATAGGGGAATACAGAAGAAGCTGCTTTTGTTTGCGAAGAAACCCCAGATGGTGTCAAACACACACAGGAGGAAAAACAGTTTTGAACAAAAGCGAAACTCAAAGAGCCACTCCTAGTATTTAACTCCACACCCAAGACTAAGTACTTGCAGTAGGTGGTGCTATTTTCTTACTGAACAACCTCCCAGCACAAGCCATCATAGAAACGTTTAGATTGGAAGAAACCTTTAAGATCCTCAAGTCCAACTGTTAAGCTAGCACTGCCCAGTCCGCCCTCAAACCAAGTCCCTAAGCACCACATCTACACGTGCTTTCGATACCTCCAGGGACGGTGACTTGATCGCTCCCCCGGGCAGCCTCTTCCCCTGCTCGACAACCTTTCTGGTGAAGAAATTTTCAGTAAAATCCCATCGATACCCGAAAAGTCGGTGCAATTGAAATCAAACTTTCCAAGACTCATTTTGGAGTTTTAGAAAGCAGCATTCTTTATTACAGTGCCGGATGCACGGGGGATTTCTCCTCCTAGCGGGCACACCCGGCTTCTGGGCAGAAAATTAGTTATACACTACAATAATGCATATTCATAACATATTTACATATTCTTAAACAATGGGTTAATTTCCTCTTGCTTTACATGTAAATCCCTTCGCATGCTCAGTTCTCTTCCTCTGCTCCCTTCTTTTGGGTCTGGGGTATGTTTAGGGTAGGTGGTCTGTGAGTTGGTGGTCACCATCTCCCCCTGCCAGAATTACCTTTTCCCCCAAGTCACTGCATGTTCACGGTTCAGAGAAACATGAGAACAAAGTTTATACATTTTCTGGGATGTTCCCTCCAAGGGCAGACAGTTCTGGATAGAGTCTCCCTTTTAATCACTCCTGACAGCTTCAAGGATGGACAACTCGTTCGCTTCTTTAGCTGTGTGTGCATCACCTACTGCCTGCTAAACCCTTCACGAAACTCTTACACAAAAACTTTAACCCCTTTATTGTTGGGTAATACCATCTAAACCTTTCCTGATGCAACGTAAGGCCGTTTCCTCCCATCCTATCGTTTGTTACCTGAGAGAAGAGGCTGACACCCACCTGGCTACAACCTCCTTCCAGGTAATTGCACAAAGTGACAAGGTCTCCCCTGAGCCTCCTTTTCTCCAGGCTAAACCACCCCAGTGCCCTCAGCCACGGCTGGTAAGACTTGTGCTCCAGACCCTTCACCAGCTTCGTTGCCGTGCTTTGACACACTCCAGTGTCTGTCTCGTAACGACGGGCCCAAAACCGAACACGGTATTTGAGGTGCAGCCTCACCGGTGCCGAGTACGGGGGGACGATCGCTGCCCTAGTCCTGCTGGTCAGACTGGTTACAATAAAAGCCAAGACAATGTACCGGGCGAGCGCCACTTATCCAGTCTCCTGCACAGGCGACAACAGAGCTATCTGGATCGAGGGGAGAGGGGAGGCCTAAAGCAAAAGAGCCCTACTCTATCACACACGTGGCCATCACCCAGACACCATGGCAGGGCGTGCCATCACTCACCATTCGGGGTATCGGAGGCACCGGCTTATTTACCGATAGCTCAGATTGGAAAGCAACCTGGCTCGTAGCACTACAGCTGAAGTATTTGTACCCGCTGAATCTTCAGAGGCACGGCCTGTGCTTCCTCACCTTCCTGCAATAACCCACAGCTGTACGGATTGCCTGTCACGGGCATTAAAAAACACAGTTTAAGAAAAAGCAATAGGTCTGCGGAGATCGACATCACCGGCACAAACATATTCATGTTACCAGGGGCGTTCCCAGGGATCGACAAGGTAGAATGAGTGCACTGACATGTGGTGCGTTTACCTTTATAGAGGATGCGCTGACGTTTTTATAGACTGCCAAGTCGATCCCACAGGTGAAAAAGGATGCAATAGCAAGGACTATTTAGTTATAGAGTCATCATTAGCCATCATCTAAATGATATATTAAAGTGGTGCTCCCGTGCCAGCGCACGGTTAAGAACGTATCAGTGTTTCCGTTGTAAAACTTTGTTTTCACGGATTCGTAGACCAGCTACAAAAGTTCAGTCAGAGCTGGAAATGAGAACGAGTTCCAGAACAGGAACACAAATTTGGAAGCTGGATTTCTTCTTTTCTCCCGCCTTTGCTCTTACTCGATTGCTGCTTCCCCCTTACCAATTTGAGTATTTTGCAGAAGAAAAATGTAGGATTCGGTTCCGTCTTGTTAAAGAGCGCAAGACTCGGCACCAAACTGGTTTTATTAATTCTTTTAGCAAAGCAGATAAAATCATAGCAGCTAGGAACTTGCTGTAAAAGAGAAAAAACTCCACCACTCTGACTAAAGCTATCAGCTACTTAAGTAAAGAACTTCCAAAAAACAGCCAGGATGCACACTCAGGATCTAACTCACATGTGATGAAAACTACAAATATGCACATTGCACATCGTAAATGTGCTGCACAACGGGCAAATGATCTCTCTTCTATAGATTTTAAGCAATATCAAACTCAAAGCTAGCATAAGCTAAGCAAGTAAGAAGGTTGCATCAATAAAATACAAAAACATAGCCGTAGGACAAGTAGCAATGGCTTTAAACTGAAAGAGAGTAGATTTCTTTGCTATGAGGGTGGTGAGGCACGGGCACAGGTTGCCCAGAGAAGCTGTGGACACCCCATTCCTGGAAGCATTCAAGGCCAGGTTGGACAGCACTTTGAGCAACCTGGTCTAGCGGAAGACGTCCCTGTCCGTGGCAGAGGGGCTGAAACTAGATTATCTTTAAAATCCCTTCCAATCCAAACCATTCTATGATTCTATAAATCTGTATAGTGGAACAGGAAAAGCCGACTCTACTCCTTCTCACAGTCATGATTAATTCTACTTCAGCTGGTGGCAGTAGGTCAGCTGTATGAAAACCAAATTGTGCACGCCTTGTCCCCTTGAGGCCAGAAGTCTTCACGTGTGAAGAGACATGCTACTGTGACCGACTAGTGACTGCGGGCACAGATCATCCACCTGCGTGACAGCACTGTGAGACAGGTGGTAAAAAAAGTCAGAAAATTAAAATTCTGGGTCTGGTCCCAAGAGGCCAAACCTACAGGTCCTGCCTGTTTGCCTTAAAGACAACTAGCAAATTTGGGCCCAACCTGCCCAAATCCTAGCTTAACGGTTTTCAAGTTCCTTCTGCCTAAAAACTACCAGAATGCGGCTGCTTGCTTTTTACTTATAGGGGTACAGAAAAAACACACCACCACACAACAAAACAAAAACCAAACAAAAAACCCCAAAACGCCACACTCCCACCATCTCCTGCCTGAATGTTTTCATAGCTCTCGTTACAAAAGACCCTTAATGTTACTAAAGCAAAAGAGGGTAGAATTTGGCCCGTGCTGGTTTCTGCAGGCTGACGGTGGCCACTGACGAGCTGGTTTCCCGGTGCAGTGCCCCGTTTCCCCTGTTTGCGTGGGCATTTTGTACCGCAACAAAGGGAAGAAAGGCGTTTCGAAAAGGAGGAGAGCATAGTTCTTAAACCACAAGAATTGGCCTAGGGGCAGGTGTAATACCTAAAATTACTTGAAATTCAGTCAATAAAAAAGAGTTTAAAGTAATTTCTGACAGTATAGCGGTACTATAACATCATTAGAGAGACCCTCCAATTAAAATTGAGTTTTTTAAATGACTCATTTGCAAGATATGTTCCTTTAGCGATGCTAAGATTAGAAGTGCTTTCGAAACCAAACTGAAAGTCCCGAGTTCGAGGCTTTTATCTTTCTGCTCTCTTTTATTTATTCCACACTGCATCTTTCCTCCAGATCCTGAGCCTCCGAAGCTGCAGATGAGCACACCCTTACGGGGAGCACTGAAGGTAGGCAGATTTACATCAGCTGGAGGTCACTCAGCGGTTTCGCTAACTGGCAGGAGAAAGGAATTGTCGCGTGCAGAAACCGATGCGCGGACTCGACCGTAGTTTAAGAGTACGCTTGCCAGAACCGCCGAAGCCTTCAGCTCTAACTCAACGTATCATCTGACCTTCTTCCTACCTGTCATCTCGGAGTCACAAGGGATAGAAAACCACTTGCTGTTGCGGTACTAGCTGTTAAAGAACCTGAAAAGGCTCTGTCTTTGGGTTTTTACTGAAGCAGATTTTTCACTATGAGGCCTGGCCTCAGCAAGACAAGGGCTGCTAATG